ATGAAAAACCTAAATCTCCGAGTTACCTTCATTAGTACTGAAACTGCCGGAGTCCATGAATAATCAAAGAGATGAAATTATTGATGAAAGAATTCTTGAAAAATAGGGAAAAATGAAGGCTGAAGTGTCCTTACAGAGTTGTTTTTCTGTTTACTGTTACTCACGTCCACGGAAGTGGAAATGACGCCAGTAGGCCTTTGTCCCCTACGTATCATGCTAAATGTTTTTCAAGGTTTCCTGAGTTTTCCTAAGGGAGACAATGTAAAAAAACGTAAATTACGGCGAGTAGTAACTTATTAAGCGTGAGGATAGCTTAGTGGATTTTTTGCACCCATCAGAATTATCATCACTACTTCTCAAAACCGTATCGACGCTAATTTTAGCATTTACTGAGACTATATTTGAGCTTCTCTGACATTTTATGACAACAATGCCAATTACAGTATTCTCCGCATGCTCGAGAACTACCGAATGCGATCGAAATGCAGTTTGCCTGAACACTTTCGATTCCTACAGCTGCCAGTGTCGTCCTGGATTCATCGACATGTCGCCGGATCCAGAGAAAAAGCCAGGAAGGGTCTGCAAAGAACGTAAGTGGCTATATTCTTGCGTCATTCGCGACAATTAATCAACCATTCTCTGCAGTTGTGAACGAATGCGCCACGACGAACAATGAATGCTCGCAATTTGCAAAATGTGTGGATCTCACTGAAGGATACGCATGTCAATGTATGGAGGGATACGTGGATGTGTCATCAAAGCATAAACTGCCACCCGGACGAAGATGTTCGCAATGTGAGGATTTTTTGCTTATTTTCTCTCAAAATCCTATAATCACTATCAAAACAGCGATACATGAGATCCGCCATAAGTTAGTAGCATGATGTTTCCACACATTCATTTGTCGCGCAGACAATGCGGTCAGTGCGGCGGCGCGGCTGCGACGCGTTTGAGACGCTGGGAGTAGGTATACCTCGGAAGGCTCAAAAGTGTTATAAGCATGCAATGCAGTTTTATGCTGTCATCACTGATCCTTTAAATTTGTGTCAAATATGTACTAGCTTCCGTATGGAAATTATGCATACGCAACGCGGGGGCGTCGCGTGCGAACCTCGAATTTGAGCTAATTTCTTTGTCCAAACCATACGCGCGCCAACGTGGCACGATTGTGCTATGATTACTGGTATATTTAACAGGAAGAGGAAAATCCAAGAAATCTGGCGTTGATAACGCTGCATGAAACGCGCAGTCGTGATGCCTATGAGTCGCGACGCCACAATCATATGCTAATCTCCTATCAAATTGCGTCCGTTCTTGCATTTTTTTCATACTACGATTCATTATTACACCCGTTTTCACTCATGCAAGGACAAAAATGAGGTTTTCTTAGAGATTCACCTGCA